GTTGTCAGCAACAAACTTTAGTAATTTTGTGAGCATTATTCTTTAACAATGCTGAAGCCTCCATTTCATGCACATTATACATTACCAATGATGAAATCTCAATCTTGAACGCATCGTTTGTTTAAGCATCTCCCATGTACTGATATGTATCTTAACATTTTTTGAACGCTCTATGTTGTCAGCAACAAACTTTAGCAATGCTGTGAGCCTAATAACTTAACAGGTTTGTGGGCTCAATGTCATACGCACTGCACTCTATACATTAATGTTAAAGTCTCAATGTTGAAGGCGTCTTCTGTCCAGGCATCTGCCATGCACAGATAAAGCTTTTGATGAGCCAAACTACTTTTTGATGATCGATTTTGATGTTTACGAGCGCGTGTCGTGAAAATAATGAATAATTGAGCGCCTTTGCTGCCATCTCCTCGACGTCACGCGATTTTATGAGCAATTTCTTGAATAATATTACAGCTTTTAATGCGATGTTGGTGTTCTCTGTATCTTAACTGCGGTTCAAGATGTAAATATTTAGCCTGTGTTCGAAAGATTACCGATATATTGATGGTCAGCTGTAGGATATTGCTCATCTGGATACTTTCAGAATATTTTGTTTCAGAATCCGCTCTGGAAAATTTGTTTCAGAATCCTCCCGTAATTTGTAATGTTTCAGAATCCCTTCAATGTTTTGTATTTTAGAACCCACCTCAAATAAAGTTGTGTTGAAAAATCTTCCCTTAATTTGTAATGTTTCAGAATCCCTTCAAAATTTTGTATTTTACAACCCACCTCAAAGTTGTGTTAAAAATTCTCTTGTGGATATTGGTTTTCAACGTTCTTTCACAATATTTTATTTCGGAAGCCTCTCCGAATATTGTGTTCTCATAAACCCTTCATATTATTATTTTGCAGAATCCTCAAATTCTTCGACTATTTTCTATTTTTAACTAATGAGGTTTACCAAAAGTTTGGTTGGTGCGTTGCAAGTTAACAAACTCGGTCGTGCCGGTCTTGCCAAACTCACTCCGTCGTGGCAGGCGCCAACAAAAGCATTTATGTAGGAAAAATTTAATAATTATTCAACAATTAATTTAACAAAAATACATCTCATGGATTTAATTGTATTAAATTTATTTACCTGAACGAAAATATCATGTTTTTATGCATATGTTCTAAACCGTCAGCTTTCAATATTTCTGACGGTGTTTTTGGCGCATTTTCTCATTTATGCAAAAAAATGCACTATTGGGCTCGCCATGTCCGTCTGTCTGTCTGTCCGTCTGTCCGTCCGTGACCTCAAGTTTTCGTTGACAAGAAAATGCGCTCTCTGTCACTCACTGCAGTGAGTACTGAGTTATATTTTTTGACTTTTCAATCGAACGTATGTATATTCTCACTTCATTTTAGACTTTTTGAACTGCATCCATCGATCTTTAGTCAGTCCTCCTATCGTCTGGATTTCAGTTATAGAATATCCGACTTTCATGAGATTTCAATTATAAGATTTCATAAGATAATTTTACTTGACTTCATTTTGCGATTTCGCTTAGTAAGTAAAATGCTCAATTTGACTTTAATTTGACATTTCCCAAGAAAACGTAGAATTTATGTTACGATTTTCATTATTTCACTCGACTGTATATCACGTATGCACAGCAATCGATTTGCTAGATTCTCCCTTCCCTCGTCGTAGTCACCCTTCCCTCGTGGTAGTCACCCTTCCCTCGTCGTAGTCACCCTTCCCTCGTCGTAGTCACCCTTCCCTCGTCGTAGTCACCATTCCCTCGTGGTCACCCTTCCCTCACAGTTACCCTCGTTCATATAAAAATGACGTCCCTTTATGGTCGTCAAGATTCGACCTCCGGCACCTCAGAGTGATTCTTTCACTCTCTTCATCGTGAAGTGTGTCATCATTATGACTCTTGCGGACCATGAAGTGTGTCATCATTATGACTCTTGCGGACCATGAAGTGTCTCATCATTATGACTCTTTCTTGCGGACCATGAAGTGTGTCATCATAATGACTCTTGCGGACCATGAAGTGTGTCATCATTATGAAAGACTTCATTATTTTTCTAGTGACACGCGTTAAATCTGTACTCTTTCTTTTTTTCGTGTGCCATGGTGACTCTATTCAGTCGATATTATAACTCGTCCTAGAGTGACGCAAAAGTGCAGGGTATATTATAGCCCATTATAGTTCGATGCAAAAAACAATGAATTTTGTGAATCTTTCTTGATTTAAGCTCCTATTAATGATATGTTATGACTTTCGGTATTTTCGGAGCCGTCAGTATTATGAATTTTATATCCTCCTTAAAATAAGATATTAGAAATGACGAAATTTATTCTGAATTCTAAACTCTTAGAGAGAATTTTCAACGATTATAATAGAAGCTTATTAACTAAAAGGTAAATTATTATGTACAGCGTTAATGACGCGGCCGAAGCCAGAAATTTCGAAAATGATAGAACACAAATAATTGTAGTTTTCTCATTAGAAAGTTGCATGGCCACATACAAGGGAGATATGCACTTGGTCTGATGATTGAATCATGCATTCCCAAATTAAGGATTGGTAGGTTACCAAATTGAAGTAAAATATGGATCATCACCGGAAATTAAGCATAAGAATCTTATATTGCAAGAGGAGACGGAAAACGCACGTGCCGAATTCTCTTATGAAACTGAAAGAAAATTTTCTACGTGAGGAAATTCTCGCTGCCATAGTGAAATTAACTCTACGCTTCGCTAATTATAAATTAATTGAATGACAGGCGAGTTTGTGCTAACGTCTCTTAATTAAGATAAATTGGCTAAACTGAAGTTCTTCATTGTTAGTAAATTACTATTTCCTAATGCCCTATATATTATCAATTATTATTTTATTATTATCATTATTATATTATTATTTCTATTATTTTAATTAATCCACATTCCGATGCGAATCACTTATTCTTGTTCTTCCCGCTGCAGCTAATCTGCAGTGCATGTCGATGATCAATATCAGTTACCCTATAATACCAATGAGTATTGAAAAATAATTAAAAACAAATTCTTGAGGTAACCTTACCATACGAGTGAAGAGGAAGGATCGAAATGGACATCATGCAGCAGTTCAATTGAAAATAAAAACTAGGGAGAAGATAAAGAGTTGAAGCGTATCCATTATTTAAACAGTTTCGATCAATTAACATTGATTTTTAAAATTGTTTTCATAAATATTGTCCGTCCTCCACATTTTTTCTCTTTAACATAATTAGGTTAGGGTTGCGTTAAATAGTAAAGAATATAAAATTTTCCTTCCTTCAGTTCCTTCCTTCCGTCCACCAGCTCCTGTCCTCCGTCCACCAGTCCCTGTCCTCCGTCCACCAGCCCCTGTCCTCTGTTAACCAGCCCCTGTCCTCCGTCCATCAGTTCCTGTCCTCCATCCACAAGTCCCTGCCCTCCGTCTACCAGCCCCTGTCCTCCATCCACCAGCCCCTGTCCTCCGTCCACCAGCCCCTGTCC